CATGCTGGCATCACCCAGACTCACCTTTTCAATTCTCGCTCTTTCCTGATCTCAGATTTCCTCTTTTCCGTTTTCAAAGTTTTGAGTCTTGTCCTCATTTTCCTACCTACTCTACCTTGGTGATTTTCTCTTATCCCTCGTAAAAAGAAAAAATCTTCTTTTCTCGCAATCATTATGCAACGGAATGAACTTTCTATGTAAATTATTGGACTGCTATGATATAACAAGCCATTTGCTCAAGCGATTCTTGCACAAAGGTGTTTGAGAAATTACTGTTCGTGTCAGTCACAATTCTCAGTTCTGCTTCGTTCTTCATGCCAAATGCCAATTTTTTGTCTCCTGGAGAACATGAAATTTTCTCGGTTTCTTCGTTTTTCTTTGTTCTCTACAATCATTCTTGCTCTTCTTGGTCCGATTTCAACGGCAAAATTGATCACAAGCGAGAGAAGAATTCTTTTCCCAGGCTGAGAGGTTGCTTGAGTATCCTCAGGTTCTTAGAGGATGGAGGAAATGGACCAACTTCTGCTATCTCCCTCCGTCACCTTCTCTCAAGATTGTCTGCTCCAACGGCCATGTGACTGAATAAACCATTGTTGGGGACAAGGTCTCGTCATCATCTTCTCAAACTCTTTCAGAAAGATTCTCCATTGATTCTTTCTTCACTGTGTTGACGAAACTGTCAAGTTTGAAGGTACTGTCACTTGTGTCTTTAGGCTTGTGGGGTCCTTTGCCTGCCAAGATAGACAGGTTCTGGTCACTTGAAGTTCTGAACATTAGCTCAAATCACATAGATGGTGAAATCCCATCATCAATCCGTTTTATAAAAAGTCTCAGGGTTCTGAATCTGGCTGATAATTTGTTCAATGGCAGTGTCCCAGATCTGAAAGCACTAGCTTTTCTTGAAGAACTTAATCTGGGTGAAAACAAACTGGGTTCTGAATTCCCCTCACTGGGTAACAATTGTTAGAATTATCCTGAAATACAATTCTTTTAGGTTTCAGATTCCCTCCAGAATCATGTATTTTCACAAACTTGAAGAATTTGACATCTCTTCCAATGAATTTTCTGGACCCATCCCACCTTCTCTGTTCTCTCTTCCTTCCATTGTCCACATAAACTTAGCTCAAAACCAGCTTACTGGTGACTCCTCTGTGAACATAAACTGTAGTTCAAAGCTAACATTTGTGAATCTCTCGGACAACCTTTTAATGGGGAAATTTCCACCTTGTTTTGGATCATCAAAGTCCTCAAATCGCACGGTGTTGTATTCTGGGAACTGCTTTTCAGCTAGAAGCTTAACAGGCATGCATCAACATCCATCTTCATACTGTATTAAGGAGAAGGCCATAGCTGTGAAGCCTGTGGAGAGAAGCCAGAAGAAGGAGACAGGTATGAGAATTCTTGCAACCATTGGAGTCATTGGAGGTTCTGTTGGATTCGCTGTGATTCTGTCACTGTTCATTGTGTTCGTATGGAGGAAGTGCAAAGAAGACAGAGCAGATGATGATAAAGATTTAGACAGATCTGCTACTCATAAGCTCCGAAGACCAAACATTGATTCAAGTAAATCCATCTTTTCATTTGATTTGGTACCGAAAGTTGTTTGGTTTGAATTTTGAAATGAATTTGTCATTCTTTGGTTAAAATGCATCATTCAATTCTTAACTCTCATTTATGGTCATGCGATTAATTTACTTTCAGTTTTTAACAACAAATATATATATATATATATATATATATAGGTTCATATGATATCTGATATAATTGTAAAAATGTTGAAACAGTAATGATTTATTAATAACTTTATAATTTGATCTTGAATGTAATTATTCATATAAGTTAACTTTTGTGAGTTAACAATATTTATTTGATTAAGAAATTTATCAGATATAAATTAAAAGATTTCAACTATGAATTATTTTTATTCATACTAAATGCAGCATTTTATAAATATAATACAAATTTAATTTTAAGTCAAACTATGATGCATTGTAATTTTTTTTTTCCCTTCCGAATCTTACTTGCATATAAAACAAAATTTTCTTCCCAATCTTGTTTTATTTATTGATGTATTTATTTATTTTTATTCAAGGTTGGATTCTCTAGATCTGAACCCATTGCTTACGACCATTAAATAGTACTATAATACAGAACTATAAAATGATATTCTAATGATTCTAAGCCTGACCCAGAAGCTTTGTAACTCAAAATTTTCTGCTTGTTGTTCCTTTTTACTTTTATAATGACAACTAATCTGATCTTTGGGAAAAGGACGTGTTCCTCAGACAATGAGGCTATCTGCACTTGGACTCCCACCATACAGAATTTTCACATCAGAGGACATTGAAGAAGCAACAAACAACTTTGATCCATCAAATCTAATATCAGAAGGATCTAAAGGCAAGGTAAAAAAAAAAAGAGTAAAAGAAAGATTCCCATGTAATGAATAATGAGATACAAGATCGACCCCACACAACCACAAGACCAGAGTTATAATTTAATGGTGTTTAATTTTAGTACTCACCCACTTGAGCTGTATTTATTTTACTTACACACAGATATATAAAGGTTGGCTCAGTGATGGTTCAGAGGTCCTTTTCAACTGTGTAGAAGTAACACACAAGAACTTGACCCAAGTCTGATGAAGAAACACATAGAGGTGTTACCCAGTCTGAGGCACAGACATTTGGTAAGTGTGCTAGGACACTGTCTCATTACTCCTCAAGACCATTCTCAACCAAGAAGCACAGTCTTCATTGTCCTTGAGCGCTTTTCAAATGGGTCATTGAGATATCATCTTTCAGGTAACACAATTACACAAATTCAGGGATTCTTATGCAGACAGGATCATAAATAGCTATAAAAAATCTGTCATATATATATATATATATATATTTACATTGGGTAAGTTTGAAACCTTATCTTTACCCACATACTTTAGGTAACTGAAATTTATAATAAGTTTCACATTTATAATTTCTGAATAATGTGGTTTATTATATATTTTAGCTAGATTATGGAGAAATTTGTCATTTTCTTATACAAATTAAACTTCCCTGGATTTTTTTTTCCCAGGTAATCCCTTTAAACTTCGTGTGATGTGTAAATAACTCTCTTAAATTCTAAATTATGTGCAAATAACTACCCTAGTTATGTTTTTATTATATTAGTAAAGTAACAGACAAATTAGGGCTTCATTGTGAAGTTATGAATATTAGGAAAGTTATATGCGCATAATCCAAAATTTAGGGGATTTTATTTAAATACGATTTTGCTTATTTTATTATGCATGTTGATATTGATACATTAATAATAACGAGTCAATGACTTGGACGCTTATTTTGATTTGATAGATTTGAGAAAGAAGCAAGTGCTGAAATGGCCACAGAGAATGGCAATAAGCATAGGAATTGCAAGAGGGACCCAGTTCTTGCACACAGGGGTTGTTCCTGGCATATTTGGCAACGATTTAAAGATTGACAACATTTTGCTAGATGATAATCTCAACCCAAAAGTTAGTGGATATAATATTCCATTGCTATATAAGGTAATTAGGTCTGAGAGTTTGCAGAAAGTGATGGATTCTATTGGTATTATAATTTTTAGCTAGTAACTCATTCTTACTCCAGACGATATGTATCTTCTTTTTCCAATTTTCAGAATGGTTTTGAGAGTACTCTTCTTGAGCAAAGTGGCCCCCATCATGGCGCAAGGTATTTGTCGTACTACCAACAATTATTGATAGAACCAACCCTTTGTTCATTTGATTTTTACAAGGCATCTCAAGTTTGAATCTTAAAAATGCATATTGGCAATAGAGTTTTTACTTGAAAGAGTCTCATCCTGACTTGATTGGGATGTGTCTAACCTTTGTTAAGTCTCTTCAACTTAATTTGGGACAAGCTTAAGATACTGAATACTCCATTTAAAAAAATGGGGGAAGGGGTAAAATGGCAATTTAACTCTTACTATAGGTCGTTGAATTGTAATTTTTGGGTCCTTTCATGTGATTCATTTGGCCCTTTTTTGTAATTCTTAAGGTTATTTTCTATAATTTTTTAATCAATTAATAGTTAAAATTAACAACATAAGAGAGCTTGCCATGATTTTAAGAGTTTAGGGGTGAAAAAAAAAAAAGAGTTCAAGAGCCCAGATACTCCAAAGCTTATAGTTTAAAAGTCAAATTGTCATTTTATCAAAAATAAAACAACTATTGATGTAGACAAATTTGAATGATTCAGAAAGGGGAACAAAAAATTAACAATTAGTGGAAAGGTCAAATGTGAATCTTATCAAAATCAATTTAACTTTTCTCTGTTTTATTAGTCATGATCAGTGCAATTATATTATTTGATTTTCATCTACATGTGCAGAACT